AATTTGTTAAGACTTGTTTTGTCACCTAACCATTAGAGTATTACAGTATTCTGTATTTGTCTACACATTTACCCATACCAACCAATTTTGTACTTTTTTATGCTGTTGTATTGCTGTTTAGTGACCTTTCATGTCAATGTAAAGAACCCCCTTTAGCATTTCTGGTAAGTAGGTCTAGTGGTGATAAACTTCCTCAGCTTTTGTTTGTTTAGGAAAGACTCTCTTTCATTTTTGAAGAACAGTTTTGCTGGATGTAATATTCTTGTTTGGCAGCTTTTGAATATATCATTGCACTCCTTTCTGGCCTGCAAGGTTTCTGCTGAGAAATCCACTTACAGTCTTACGGGGGTTCTGTGGTACCCGACAAGTTGCCTTTTTCTTTTGTTTTCAAAATATTCTCTTTGCTTTTACTTTTGACAGTTTTTAAGTTCTCTTAGTGTGGATTTAAGTTCCTTTTTTGGGACTTCTTTGGACGTATTGTATCTGGATGTCCATTTCCATTTTCAGTCTATTTCTTTGAATAAGTTTTCTCGTCACTTCTCTCTTCTCTCCTCTCCTCTTCTGTGTATATACTGGTCTGCTTGTTGGTGTCACATAGTCCCTTAAAGTTTCTTCACTCTTTTTTTTTGCGCTTGTGATTGATTTCAAATAACCTTTCTTAGAGTTTGCCGATCCTTTTTTTTTTTTATCCTCACCCCAGGATATTTTTTTATTGCTTTTCAGAGGGGGTGGGGGGGAGACGTATTGATTGGTTGCCTCCCACACACCCTGACTGGGGTGGAGATAGAGCCTACAACTGAGGTACATGCCCTTGTCTGGAATTGAACTTGATACCCTTCAGTCCTTGGCCGATGCTCTAACCACTGAGCCAAACCAGCTAGGGCTGCTGATCCTTTCTTATCTAGATGTAGTCTCTTGTTGAACTCCTCTAGAGAATTTTATTATTTCAGTTATTATATTCTTTAACTCCTTGATTTCTGTTTGTTACTTTTTTATATTTCTTTTCTCTTTGTTGAAATTCACTTTGTTCATCCATTGTTCTCCTGACCTTACTGAGCATCTTTCTGATGGTTATTTTTAATTACCTGTCTGGTAAATTATGTGTCTCTGTTTCATTAGGGTTTGTTTCTGGAGATTTATCTTCTTTCCTTTGTTTGGAACATACTTGCTTGTTTTTTATCTTCATTAACTCTGTGTTGGTGACTGCTTATTTGACAGAGCAGCCACCTCTCCCAGTCTTCACAAACTGGTCTCATATGTTAGAAGCCAGTCAGTCAGTTGGCAAGAGATTTCTGATAGCCTCTCAAACCTCATGTCAGTTTAATGCTCTTCCTTTGTTCTTTGCAGTTATCCATTATCTAGAGTATGCTGGGTTCCCTAAGTGCACTTCAGCAAGTGAACTGAAAATTGTTCATCCTGAAAAGTTGGATTCAACTCTTTCCCTTCCTAAAGGATAAGCTGGGAGCTGGGGCCATACCCCCCAGTCTCTGTGCTTCTGTGCTGAGCTAGGAGTGGGGTTAGGGCAACTCAAACACCTCTGTCTCTGTTTTCACTAGCTCCTTGGTGACCAGATTTGCCAGGTCTCATCAATGCCCTGTGAAAAGCAAGGCAGAACCCCCTGTGCACTTTGGGCAGCCTCCAGAAAAGTTTGGGCATTGGCGCTGTGGACTAACTTGCTCCCCAGAGAGAAGTTGCAAGCTGGGGGTTATTGTCCACTTGTTTTGTGCGAAGCCAGGGGCAGGGGCTATGGCAACTGCCTTCCTAAATTTCTGTGTCTGTTCTCACTTAGGTCCCAGACAGCCAGATTTTTCTAGATCCCATCAGCACTATAAGACAGGCAAGGCAGAAGCCATTCTTTTGGATTGCCCCCATAGAAGTTTGTGCATTGGACATGTGGACTAGTGCTTTCTTTGCCCAGGAAAGAGCTGTGAACTGGAATCTTTCCTCTGCTCGCTCTTTGCTGCGCTGTGATAGGGTGACTATCAGTCCAAGCTACTGTCTCTATTCTCCCCAAGGTGGCTAGATTATGCTGGTTCTGTCAGTCTGGCAAGACAGAGGCCAGTTCTCTGGGGAGCTTTTGTAGAAAGGTTGGGGCATTGGACATGCAGCTCACCCCTTTTGCTCCTAGGGGATTAGCTGGGAACTGAAGGATTTCTTGGCATTGTATTGGGGGTAGAAATTCTGACAAGAGTGTGTCCTGAATCTCCCTATCAGGTTTGATGAGTCTAATTTCATGTTTATCCAGCATTCAGGTGCCTTTCAACTAGTTTCTGGAATACTCAAAAGTGGAATTTTTTCTGTGAATTGTTGCTGAATCTGTATTTGTGTGTGGGGTGTGTTCGGGGGAGAGTCCAGCTCTTCCTATTCTGCTATCTTTGCTGATGTCACTCCTCCCAAGGTGCTTGTTTTTAACTTTCCGTTGATAATTGAAGTACAAACAGCTAATGTCTAGCAGTTTTAATGAGTTTGGAGCATTGTTAGCTTTTTAGAAACATTTGTACTTAATTTTTAGAGATTAAAGAAAGCTTTTAAGGGGATGGCCTATATAACTTTGACCATCCAAAGTAAAAGAAGCTATCCATAAAAACTGTATTCTGGTTGTAAATTAGTTTTTTATATGGATACAGTTAGCAATCCCAAACAATTCTATGTATATAGTAGGGTCAAACAAAGAACTAAATTAATTTTAAGAAATTATAGCCAGTTTTCTCACTGTCAGAAAAAATTTACAGGTAAGTAAAGGAGAAGGTTAGAGTGAACTGCTGTGCCTTATTAAAGTCACGTGTTTCTGTGCATAAAGACATGCATATATTGAAAGAAATATAAAGAGGTATATGTGTATAAATTGGTTGGTATAGGCACATAGATTTTACACTGTGTTTTTTGAGAGGACCTAGAAGCTAGAAGCAATGACACTAGCAACAAACATCTTGTTTCTAGATCTTGTTTTCTAAATACTATTCTCTAATAAAAAGAAACAGGAGTCCCTGGAAAATATGGCTGATTCTAGGGCAGGGGCAGAGAAAGTACAAGATGATCCTGTGGAATCTTCTTGTGTGCCAGAAAGTGGATGTCCAGTTATTTCAGCACCATTTGTTGAAAAAACAATCCAGTTCCTATCGTGTTGCTTTTGTTCCTTTATTAAAAGTCAGTTGACTATATTTATATGGGTGTATTTCTGGGCACTCTATTCTGTTCCATTGATCTGTTTTCTTTTTTTTTGCAAGTACCACTTTGTCTTCATATCTTTATAGTAAGTCTTGAAGTTGGGAATATCGGTCCTCCGACTCAGTTCTTTTCCTTCAACATTGAATTTGCCATTCTGGTTATTTTGCTTCTCCATATAAACTTCAGAATCATTCTGCTGATATCTCTAAAATAACTTGCTGTGATTTTGTTTGGGGTTGTGTAGACTCTAGATCAAGTTGGGAAGAACTAATATCTTGATAATGTTGAGTCTTCCTATCTATGAATTTGGAATATATTTCCATTTATTTAGTTCTTTTTAAATTTTGTTTATCAAAATTTAGTAGTTTTGTTCATATATATCTTGTACATACTTTGTTAGATTTATACCTAAATTTTTTTTGTTGCTAATGCAAATGGTATTGTGCTTTTAATTTCAAATTCCACTTGTTTATTTCTGATATATAGGAAAGCAATTGATTTTTTTTTTTAATCCTCACCTGAGGTTATTTTTTTCCATTTCTTTTCAGAGAGAGTGGTAGGGAGGAAGGGAGGGAGGGAGGGAGAGAGAGAGAAAGAGAGAGAGAAACATCAACGTGAGAGAGACGCATTGACTGGTTGCCTCCTGCACCTGCCCCGACCTGGGAGTGGGGAGCAAACCCAAATCCCAGGTATGTGCCCTTGACTAGAATAAAGCCCACTACCCTTCGGTGCGTGGGCCAACATTAACCACTGAGCTACACCAGGCAGGGTGAAAGCAATTGATTTTTATATATTAGCATTGTATCCTGAAACCTTACTATAATCACCTATTCTCACAATTTTTTTTCATGTTTGTTGGTTCTTTCAGATTTCAGGCAGTCATGTCTTCTATGAACAAAGACAGTTATCTTTCTTTTTTCCCCAATGTGTATTTCTTTTACTTCCTTTTCTTGTCTTATTGTATTAGCTAGGATTTCCCGTATGCTTTTGAAAAGGAGTGGTGAAAGGGGATGTCCTTGTTGTGATCTTAGCAGGAAAACTAAGTTTTTTACCAGTGAGTATGATATTAACTGCAGGTTATTTGTAAATGTTCTTTGTCAAGTTGAGGAAGCTCCCCTCTATTCCTAGTTTGCTGAGAGTTTTTATCATGAATGAGTGTTGGATTTTGTCAAATTAATTTTCTGTGTCTGTTAATAGCATCATGTGATTTTTCTTATCCCATTGATGTGATGGATTACACTAATTGATGTTCAAATGTTGATCCAGCCTTGCTTACCTGGAATAAATTGCACTTGTTTGTGTTTTATAATTCATTTTTATACATTTGTTGGATTAGATTTGCTAATATTTTGTTGAGAGTTTTTGCAGCTATGTTCATCAGTGATATTGGCCTGTTGTTTTCCTTTCTTGTAATGTCTTTGTCTGGTTTCAGTATTAGGGTGATGCTGTCCCCATAGAAAGAGTTAGGAAGTATTTTCTCTGCTCAGTCTTCTGGAAGATTATAGAGAATTTGTTTCTCAAATTTGTCCCTTAAATATTTGGTAGAATTCACCAGTGAACCCATCTGGGCCTGTTTCTTTATATTTTTTATTTTTAATGATTATTGAGTATAGGTTCAACTTCTTTAAAAGATACAGTCCTATTCAGATTATCTTTCTTTTTGGTTCTTTTTAGTTGATTTGTTTGGATTAATTTAAGCTAATGATTTAATATTTGATTGTTATATTTTATTACACTTTTAGAATACTTTGAGTACTTTGTGATAAATTATCTTAAACTTGTTTTTATATATTCTTATGAGACATTAATAAAACACAACTGTCTTCTTTCAGCCTAGTGTGTTAATCGTAACCTACAAGGAACCTGCAAAATCATCTTCTCAGTTTGGATCCTACAAGCAAGCTGAATGGAAGCCAGATAGTACAGTGATAGCTGTGTCAGTAAGTAGATTTTTCAACTTTAATAGTGTTTTCTTATTAAATCATTACATTGCATTTGAACTTGGTTCTCTTAGGTGACTTCCTTTCAATCTTTCATACCCATTAGTGTGTTTATCTTCTGTGATGGGAATTGCTGAGCCAGATCTTCTATTCAGGTTATTTTTTCCTATATCTTCTTTCTTGATTCTTCTAATTCCTCCCATTTCTAACTGTAGTGGCCATATCCTTTTCTGTTTATTCTCCTCACTTACCTGCTTTTCCTTGAAGTCTATTTAATCCAACTTTTAAAAGCTTTTCTCTATATTCACATGGTACTCCCAAATTTATACAAGTCCTGCCCTCCGTTCCCAAGGATGTCTCACAAAAATGATAAACTTTGTGTTTATGTCATACTAAATTCTCATCTGCATTTGGATCTATTTCTGCATTTCTTTTTTGTTCCGTTAATATTCTTAAATCTGGTTGATTTTACCTTTTCAGTTTTTGTTTTGTCACTGTCGTCGCCATCATCTCTTGGACTGTTATCATTACCTAATATGAATTAGCAGTAATGTATATGGTTAAACATGTATTGAGCACTACATAAGTATTTTTATAATTAGTTTATGTGGATCATATAATTTAATCTTTAAGTCAACACTTTCAAGTAGGTACAATTATCCTTCATAGTAGATAAGTATTTTGAGGCTCTAAGAAAATAAGTTTTATCCAGAGTTACACAGATAGTGTATGTTGAAGAGAGGAATTTAAACTTAGGTGCTCAGATTCCATTTACTGTACTCTTAACTGCTACACTAACTTTTCTCTTTGTTTCCTGTCCTTTTCTAGTTCATGCTATGTAATGCTTACTGGGTTAATCATCTGAGAATGATCCACATGATCAGAAATATTGAGTAGTTTCTCACTTCCCACAGTAGGGGTATTGCAGACTACCAGCTACACACCAGGTCTACCCTGCTGCCTGTTTGTGTATGGACCATGAACTAAGAATATTTTTATGTATTTAAATGGTTGAAAAAAAAATCCAAGGGGGATAATATTTTTGGCACTTGAAAATTATATGAAATTTAAATTTCATTGTTTATAAATAACAGGTCTTGGAGCATGAAAATGCTAATTTGTTTACATTTTGTCTGGCTGCTTTTAAGCTGAAACCGCTGACTTGAGTAGTCCTTATAGTGACCACATGTGACACTTCCACTCTTTACTGTCCTGCTCAATGCACCATAAATTATGGTAACACGTTTATAAATTCAGTGTTTCCAGTGAATTCATGCATCTCTCCATACCATGACATTTTTTTATTATTTTTATAGTGCATACCTATTACATCAGAAGAGGGGAAAAATAGTCTTTGGAGTGTGGATTATTTTATTATTGAATTAGATGGCAAAATATTGTGTTTATTATGCATTGACACTAGTGAAGCCAAAGGAATATAAGTTGACATTACCCAACTTAGTACTTAGTTAAATAATAATCGTAGTATTTCCAACTCAGTGAAATTAATAGTTAGAAAAATTAGCAAAGTTAAAAGGAAAAAAAATCTCATCATACCAGAAATTCTTCACAAAAATGAAAATGAAAGTACAACCAAAGTAAGTTTGCTAGGACTGCTCAGTTTATTTGAATAATCAGTGCAGAGTATGAAATGACTGAGAATCACTTCCTATGAATATAGTTTGGGTAGAACACCTTCAGGTGTAAAGAGTTTCAAAGAAGTTCAAAACACACTAATTGAATACAACTTGAAGCAGAATCCACTAAGGTGTGTTTTAACTGATGATGGTAAAAATATGTGTGGAACAGAAAAAGGCTTATTTATTACTTAGTCGGACAAATTTACAAAGTTTGTGCGCATATAAGCATTTAAAGACTATGGTTAGTTTAGATTTTTATCGGAAATAGAAGCTAACTGTCCTGACTTGCTTAACCCCATAGCTGTTGATGGCTTAGCAGTCAGTGGTAAAGGTTTACTGTTAAATTTTTTAGCTCAGGGGCTGAGGTAGAAATTTTTTTAACTTGAAGAACCACCTGCAGGTACTGATCAGACACCGAATGACTTTGGAAGATAGCTTTTGCTGTATACTTGGTATTGTCTAATGACTTCAGTCCAAAACTACAAAACAAAGCATTGCTTATATGTGAAATGTATATATGGTAAAGTCATTTGATGACAACTAATGTTTGAATCACAAGTAATGTCAGACTGCTTTTCATACTTCCACTGCTTTTAAGAGTTAAGAGAAAAGAAGTAAGATTTCTATTTCCAACAAAAATTAGCAGCAGATATATTTCCTGAGTCCAGACTATACCATTTTTCAGAACTTGATGCAATTGCAAAGGAAACTTCCATATTTCCAAATCTATTTAATTGTGAAAATGAGAAATGTTCCATTTAACCTTCAGTTGGAAGTAATTAATCTACAATGTGAGGACATGTCAAAAGGCAAACATCAGGAGAGGAATCCAATAGACTTCTCTAATTGCCTACCTGGTACTGTATATAATCAATTAAAATTATATGCTCATGGATTGATATCAGTATTTGACAGTACTTGTGTAAAAAGACATTTTCAAATGTGAGGTATGTAAAATCTCATTACAAACCAGCATTAATTGAGGAAACTTTGCAGTCTGTTTTGATATAGGGAGCACTAACTTTAAACCTAATTAAGCAAATATGTTATCCCCACAAACAAATGTCATTCTCTAGGGGATGTGTATTACAAAGAAAAAGTATACTCAATATTCATAGCTATTATATTTAGAATTTTGTAACAATAAAATTTATAAAAATTTGTTTTCTCTATTCTTTCTTTCTTTTTATTTTTCTGTATCTCTGATGCTTTGATATCTTGGGTCCTTGCTGACCCTGGAGGCACTGCAACTCCCAGGGCTAGCCAATTCCTAAAGATAGTAAAAGACTCATCTATTGATATACCTCGCATATACAAACCAACCAAGTCATAGCCTGTAACTGCAACTACCTCCTCTATGGAACTCTTACACTCTGGGCCACTATTCCCCTGCCCTAATAACCCCAGGTCAGGTACCAGTCTCTATACCACCAATAAAGGGGAAACAGTCCATTAGCTTTCTTTTTAGAGCAGAAATAATTTCACATTAATTTATTAACCTTTTACATTCTACTAATTATTTAAGAAAGCAAAGAAGTTAGAAGAAATTATTCCTTTTCACATTGGGGAGATAAAATGTGTACATAGGTGAAGATAAAAACAACTTACTCTTTTTGGCTATTGAAAATTCAATTTGTACTTTACCTGGTTATTGCTTACAGTCTTTTTCTAGAACCTTTTGAAGATGTCATGGTGAATTTCATTTTAGCTACTGTAGTCTGGCTCATATTAAATATACTGAGTAAATGCTGGTAGGATTCAAGTTAATTCATCTCTGTATAATTGAAAATATGAATTAATGTTTTAGCTGATATGAATTTTAATATACTTACTTGTAGGATCATAAGTGGACTTTATGAAAATAAACTTTTTAAAGAACAGTTTTGTATTTACAGCCAAATCAAGGGGAAAGTATAGAGATTTCCCTATGTTCTCTTCCCCAACACATGCATAGCCTCTTCCATTATCAGCATAGGTTGAGTTATGGTGGTGTTATGTTACTTTTGGTGTTGTACATTCTGTGGGTTTGGACAAATTTATAATGACATGTATCCACCATTATAGTATATACAGGGTAGTTTTACTAGCCCCCAAGTCATCCTCTGTGTTCCTCCTATTTATCTCTTCCTCTCTCATACCTCTGGCAAGCACTGATCTTTTTTTTTAATCATCACCCAAGTACATGTTTATTGATTTTTTTTTTGAGAGAGAGAGGAAGGGGATATTTATTGATTTTTGTTTTTAAAATTTTTTTTTTAAGAGAAGAAGTGGGGGGAGAAACTATGAGAAACTGACAAAAACAAGAAAAAAATTATCAGTAATTCTACCATTCATAGATAATCATTAATTTTTATTTCTGTCCTTATATATTTTTCATGGATATTTGCAGATGCTCTTATACTTAATATAGCACATGGATTTTGAAAAGCTATTGAAGTCTATTTGTTTTTAAATCCAAAGTGATACTACTATAAGTGACTGGTAATGTCACATGTTGATGGGGAACAGATTTGGTGAATCTGAGTTTTATAAGTATAAGATTATCTGAAACATTTTTTATTTTTAGAAAGCTATCATAAATTTTCATAATCTACTTTTTTGACATCATGAACATTGTCTCACTTCGGCATTCTTGCGTCACTTGATTTTGAATGTCTGCATAGGGTTCTAACTTACAGATGAGTATAATTTTAAATTGATAAATAAATATAGGAATTTTTCTCATTTTCAGACAAAATTGAGATCTCAATTTCATTTATTTTTTTACTTAGTGTATTAGGACTCTCCTAGATTAATATATACTTCTAATTTAACTTTAGTATTTGTACAGTACTCTGTAGTATGGAAGTTTCTTATTTACTTTGCTATTTTTTACTTGCTGGACATTTGGCAACTACACACAGTGCTACAGTAAACATTATTGTACATGTATCCTTTTGTATTAGTGCATTTATTTCTTTGGGGTACTTATCCCTGTGTGGGATTGCTGGGTCAAAGTATACATGTATCTTCTTTTTAATAAATATTGCCAAATTATTTTTCAATCAAATTGTATCAGTTCCAGAATTACTCCTTAAGTGTCCCTAAGATTCCTATTTTCCCTGAATTTATGCCTGCATTATTAGATTGATGAAAAATGGTCTTGTCATTTTTATTTTCTTTGTTTTATTGCTAATGAGGTTTGGCATCTTTTCATGTTTATTGGCCTTTTGCAGTTGTTCTGCAGGTTACCTGTGTTTGTTTATTTTTTAAACCTAGTTCCATATCAGTTTTCTTCACTGTGGCTCCAGTGCCAGGAGCATTTTCTGCACATACGGTAGTCATTCACAGATTAAATTAAATAAGTAATACCTGAACATA